ATCCAAAGCTGGCCGACCATAAATCCAATCTCTCACAAAATTGTCCAGGTCTTAGTTCTCACAGTCCCTCATCCTCCACCACGAAAACCCCATCTTCTCCGCCCATCCGCCGCGGCCGCACGGCGCACACAATCACCCGCTCCATCTCCGGCGTCGGCGCTCTGAAGTCCGAAATCCCAAATCGCCGTGCTCTGAGTGCTCAATCTACAACATTAAAGGACGGCTACCTGCCTAGAAGTTGTTCGGTGCCTCAAACCGGAAGTCCAAAGCTCTTAAAACCTCTGTCAAGGACAGTGGATGTGTATGGGTTGATGGGCATAAGAAGTATTCTCGTTGTGATGATGGTTAAATATCATATATGATAATGAATGTTCACAGGGAAGTAATAAAAATCGATTAACTCACTCTCTTTTTTTTTTTTTTTTTTCTCTTTATACATTTTAGTTTATTTTGGTAAAATTATTGAGTAGTATATTGTTATTTCATATTTGAATTTTTTTTTTTGTCATTTCTCCATTTTATCGGATAACCGATAACCGAACCGAACAAACCGATAATTTTTCGGTTTAAAACCGAACCGAACTGTAGTTTTCGGTTCGGTTTTCGGTTTTAATAATGGATAGACCGAAAATTCGGTTTAACCGAATTTTCGGTCGGTTCGGTTCGGTTTTGACCGAATGTGCAGCCCTAAATTTTTGTATTTCGAACATGTGAACTTCCAATATTGAAAAGAAAAAAAATACACTTGATTCACTTGACTATAGAATTTTTGCACTTTACCAACTCAATTGTTATTTTATTTTTCTGTGACACTTTGTCATATAACTTTGCAAAAAATTGCACGTAATCAATTTCCGATCATGTAACGAAAATTTATAAGGGAAAGATTGATTGTTCAGTCATTCATTCAGTTAATTGTAACTGAAAAATTACACCTAATTACCCATCCACCTATATGTTTTGTGCACTTTACACACTCAATTTTTTTTATATATATATTTTTGCCCTTAGAAATGGTCGGACGATAACCGAAAATTGGTTAAGTGCAATTTTTTAGAATGTTATATGGACAAAATGTCACAAAAAAAAAAAAAAGAATGAGTAAAGTGCAAAAAAAACCCTATAATTAAGTGAATTAAGTGTAATTTTATCTATTGAAAAAAAAAAAAAACATCCACACAACATAGTACATTAAATTTATGGGACTGTGTCTATCATAGCCAAATTTCATATATCATGTTATTTTTATTTTTAATATCATTTATACAGTTACTATCATGCTTGTAGCATTTTTCAAATGAAATTGCATCAAAATGTTATTAATCATAGCACTACACACAATTATAAATAGCAATTATCATATTTTTTACATTCATACTTGATTCTCGTGATATATATATATATATATATATATATATATATATATATATCATGTTTTTGCGATTTAATCCACCTTTTGAATTTAGCAGTAATACGCCACATTTACCATATTTACAAATCGAATCACGATTTACAGTTCAAGTAACAAAAAGTTCATGTGGCAGTGATGGAAATCCACATGTATAATATGGACACGATGGAGAACACTATTAAAACTAATAAAATATATGCGACGTCATTTGTACAAACTATAAGACATGGAATTTCGTTCATTTTTTACATTCAGACAAACCCTAATCTCCTTCTCCTCTTCAGTTCCTAAAAAACTTGTGAAAATAATGTCATGTGATCCAAGTGACAATCGACGTGGATTATGTTTCCATAGATTCACCAGATGTGCTAACTTCGAACACAGAGAAAAATCTAGCACGAAGATACCACCAATGTCACTTTCGAAATGTGAGCCTATATTATTTTTTGTGATTTTGCAAAAGATTGGCTTTTCAAATTGATTTGATTTGCTTGAATATGAAAAATAGGATTTCTTCAAATTGGTCTGTTTTTTAAGATTTCGCAATTGAAAATTAGGGCTATTTGAATTGATCGATTTTTGAAATAATATTAAATTAACAACTGAAAATTAGGGTTTCGTTGAGTTAAGATTGATATTTGTGAGTATTAATTTTGCAACTAAAATTAAGGATTTCATGGAGTAGAAATTTTCTTCAAATTTGTTGGTTTATTTGTAGTCTTTTTATTTTTCTAGTTATAGGCAAATGACTGTAAGTATTTTGTATTGCTTATGATGAATTACCTCCATTCCAAAAGGCTTGTTTTTTGAAATTGAACTCTCAGAAAAATCAATTGGAGGAGCAATTGAAGTGCAAAAACATTTCTAAGAGATTGTTTGCTGAGATCTAGAAATGAAAGATAATGAACTTATTGCGGCTCAAAACAAAAATGAAGAGTTGGAAAAGATCATCTTGCAATGTGCAAGAGAAAGAAGTTGAAAGAAAGAAGTTGAAAGAAAGAAAGTTTATCTTGTTTGTTTTAGTTATTTGTGTAAATGTGTATTGGAATGGTGAAAATAAAAATGGTAGATTGATGCTCAAATATACTACCATACAACCCCCGTGAACGACCATCCACACACTTTGCTTTTTATTGCTTCCCATGAACTGAATGTTACACCCATTATTTATTGCATTGTTTTGAATTGCATCTTTTAACTACATCACACTGTCAAGCCTCTTACCACACACAAATTATAGAGTATTTTAATCGCACTTATAATAATCATATACTACCAACTTCTTCTTGGTCTTAGACACACTATCAACATCTCCAGCCTCTTCATAATGAGAAGTAGGTGAAATATTGTTTACTTACTCATTAGAATCCTACATAATTTGTATCCACTTCTTTAACAAATGACATTTTTTCCTCATCTTTTGCCTTTTTGGACTTCTTAAACATGACCCCATCTCTCCTTGTAGCATGGCACTCTTCATTATATGTTTCCAATAGTCCATCCTCACTTGAATAATCATCAATCTCATCATTAGATGACACATGATCATCATCATCTGAGCATTCCTCAACATCTTGAACTTTGTCATGAATATCGACATGATTGTTTCACCTTCTATTGCAATTTTTGTTGATCACCTATACTGTCCAAGATCTACATAAACATAAACAAACATTTTCACAACAGATAAAGCCTTCAGCATTTCCATGATCCCAGTTGATGAGGGTTCAACTAACCCTCAGCCCCCCCAGTCCAGGCTAGCCGCGGCCCTGCCTGGTGAGCCCAGTCTAGCCATGGCCCTGACTGGCTCGTGCCCCGGGGGACCCACCGACTCTAATGAGTCCCACAGTGGCAGAAGATTGTTTACAAGCATGCAGTCCACTGTGGGACTCATTGGAGTCGGTGGGTCCCCCGGGGCACGAGCCAGTCAGGGCCACGGCTAGACTGGGCTCACCAGGCAGGGCCACGGCTAGCCTGGGTTGGGGAGGCTGAGGGTTAGTTGAACCCTCATCAAAAACCAAGTGGTGAGATGGTACCAGGATTGCATGCTTGGTGACCTTATGCTCAGGGTCACAGGTTCGAATCCTGGGGAGGGCAAAAACCACACTTGAGCAGTGTGGAAGGCCATGAGTCCACTGTGGGACTCATTGGAGTCGGTGGGTCCCCCGGGGCACGAGCCAGTCAGGGCCGCGGCTAGACTGGGCTCACCAGGCAGGGCCACGGCTAGCCTGGGCTGGGGGGCTGAGGGTTAGTTGAACCCTCATCACCAGTGTCATCATAAATCTCTAAATAGAAACTTGTAAACAATCTTCTGCCACTCTTTATAACCCATCTTATGAATTTCTTCTACCAGGTCAAAGAAACTAAATCTATGGATGTCTAGGCCGATTAATTCCTTCCCATATAACCGTACTTTAGGGTTTCCTACCTCATACGGTCATCAATTCTTTTGGTGTCTATATATCTAACAAATGGGGTATCATATAGATCTATCCCACTTATATTTTCCAGTTAACGTGAATTAATAAATCCATTTTAAGGACATATAATCACCGAAGTAACCAAAACAACCATCAATATTAATAATGTACCCTCCATGGTTGAAACAAATTGAGAAAGAGTTACTGAGGTGTTAAGCAAAAACCATAGAAAACATTTCACAAAACAATACAAGAAAATTCAAAAGGAAATAAAAATCACATAACAAAAATTTACAAATTGTGCAACCCTATACTCAAGAAACATAACTCGAAATAATAACACAATTTAACAAACTCCAAAAAATGCTAATAAGTCCACTACAAAACTATAGGTTCGTAGAAAACTGTCATTTTTTCATTTTCATAGTCCACAATTTCATCTCATGGAATATAATAAGAAGATGAGCTCTTTGTTATTGTGAAAAATTAGAATTCGACTGAATGCCAAGAAAATGAACTAACTTCTCCATCCAAACGACACCGTAGAGTCATTTATCAATCGAAACTGCGTTTTCCATCGCTGCCATAGTTATTAGTTACACACAACGACACCGTAGAGTCTTAACAATTTAAATTGTGTTTTCCAGCACGACCATAATTATACACGTTTGGCTTCCTATCAATTTAAATTGTGTTTTCCAGCGCTGCTATAGTTATACACGTTGGGCTTCAATAATCGTCGCCACGTGAACTTTCTGTCACCAGAACCGTAAATCGTTATTCTTTATAAAAATGGTAAAGGTTGTGAATTAAACAGATAAATTCCAAAATTCAAAAGGTGGTGATTAAACCGCAAAAATATAAAGGTGGTATATTTATATTTGAGGGTTTTGACTACTGTAGTAATCAGAAGGGTCTTGGCTGCTGTAGTAATCAGAAAACTAAACATGGAAAACTAAGTAAAATTGAAGAGGATCATACAAAGTTGTTCTCACACAAATCTTCCAACCAACACAACCACCATTCCACCTTGTACACTTTCTGGAATAATCATTGCTACATATATTCGACTCCTTGTGAGTGAAAAAAAAAAAAAAA